AAGCGCTGTCAGCACCGATGTTCCTGGAAATGTTTGAGTATCGCCTTAATACTAGTAACAGTCGTCCTAAGCGCCATGTTGACCTACTTTGCAGGTGAGTTTCGTGAGAATATCCCGCATCCACGCAGAGCGCCTTGTACGTGTGCGTGTGCGAGCAATTAAAAGTTATACATTCAGTGACGAATATGAAAATATCTACAAATACGTTTGCCTATACTCGTATTCACAAGCACACCCACATATGCGCAAGTAAACAGTACTTATCTAGTTGTTGGCGTACATTAAGTTTGGAGCGCAAATTTACTCGACCATTTCTTGCTTTCTTTTGTTGTCCGCCATTTATGCTTAGCAGTGGCTATTAAGGCAAATTGAATATTTAAGTCCCACATCCACATGACGGCTCATCAAACACTCACACACATGCATACAAATACACGTTTATATAACTATAAGTATAATGTGCTTACGCTCTTGCGGATTTGGTACACAAGTCATTAGCCCGAGACAGATTTGCTATAATACATCGGATAATGCGTTGCGGCGTTGCGGTGTTGCGGCGTTGCCGGATAACGAGGTGAGCATAATGGCAGCCATTGTGAAGCCTTTTTCCGCAAGCCTTTGTTACATTAATTAAGCGAAAAGGGATTTAATGACATTTGCAAACACTGAGGCACTCAAATAGACAGACATTACCTCTCGCCTCTATACACACATATGTACATGCACATACATGCATATGTGGATAGATGCTTATGCGCTACGCATCTTCCACCTGAGCCCACACTGTTTACATAACTGTATCTTAGAAATAAACAGTAAATTCTAATGTAAGTGTGCTCCGAAATGTATGTATGTGTGTGTGACTATACAAACTGATGCCTTTTTAGGCTAATGCAAAGCAAACACTTCATATGAGGTGCCACAACCGTTGTTGCCTCTTCTGTTTAAACAAACTACATTTCCGACGTCACTCCGAGCGCGTGTGTGTGTAAATTAGTCTTTGAATGTGTGGACATTGTCGTCCTTTAAGCCGCTGTGTACTCATTTAACGGAAGGGGGATCCAGTCCGCGAGGGGTGGTTTTGTTTTGATGTTTTCAAGCAATCTCTGTAAGAAAATAGTGTGCTGTCAAGTAAAGGATCCCTTTGCTACTTTCGAAGCCTTATTGAATGGACAATATCTGCAGTGGCATGACTCATAGCATGAATATTTGACGAACAAGACTAAAAGAGGGTTAAGCAAAGATTTATTTACTTATATAATTACTGGAATGCATAAGCGTTAATTATTTATTGATGTAAGGAAGAACCAAAGAAAATGGCTGAGGCAATTCCTTTCCAAGTCTGATGTAACAATCGGCTCAATTCGGAGCACAACCATGCGTATTTTCGAATGTAATATTTTAAGTCCCATCGGTATATTGGATTATTGCTTATGAGCAACCCAGGCTCATACTCAGTATCTCTGGTTGAGTTCGAATCGAATCTTAGTGTTTCAACACCTCTCCCAGTGTCTTTAAAATACATAGACTTTTCGAAAAAAAAACATTTCAGCGTTTCCTTATTTATTTGTGTAATAAATTTTTTAAAATTGGAACATTTGGTAGACTACACGAAGCCTTTAGATGTATTTCGTTGTTCTAAATAGCCCATCACTATCTTTCTTTCCATAAGTTCTCCCTCTTTGCGTAGACTTTCGTGCGGTCAGAGTTGGACGGAGGGATTTTCCTTCAATCAATGACGACGCGGTCACAAACTGTGAATCACTGCAATGTAAAAAGCACTAAACGTGCCACAGATAAATCTCGGTAGTGGTTGGGTCTGAGGAAGTATAATGGTAGATAATAAATTGAAAGCAGAACTCCAAATAACCAAGCGCGAAAGCTCGGAGCGCTGATGATGAAGGGGAGCCTTGCAGTCGGAAATTTCGATCTTTTCATTTGCAGTCTGACATCGCGCCGGTGGCTGTGCTGTTTGTGGCGGTACATGCCTTATGCGGCAAGTACGTATATGCGTGTAAGCTGGAGGTTTTGGTGGCAGTCTGATCGGCGGGGCGTAAAGCCAATGCAAGCGTAGTGAGTGTGCGTGTAAATGCGCAGGAAGTTTTCCCAAAGTGTTTTTGCCGACTAAAGTTATGTTGTTGTTTCTAACGTTATAGCGTGCTATCCCAGAACCACAAAACATGTGCAGCAGGAATTTGGGGAAACACTTTTCCCTTAGTACTACTGCACCGCGTATTTTGTCTTGACTCGCTCCATACACGTTTATCGGCGAGTATGTGCGCGTTGATTAGTGGGGGTGCATGCCACAGCTAGGTTGTTTAATTTTCTAAAAGCGAAACGCTGGGTGTGGGCGAGTAACTGTTTATTTTTGCTTTGTTTGGATGGTGTTTTGGTGGGGATCTCAGAGCTTTCGTTTTTTCCGAAATGGTTTTACAAACTTTCATTCGGTGCGTTTGGCTATTAGCGCACCATGCAGAAACTCAGATTTAAATCAGTTGCCGTTAGAGTCAGTTGCATTTACATGTCTCCATTTCATTGGAACTTTTGTGCTTTTAGTTGGGTTGGAAATTCTACAATTTAAGCGTTGTTTTCATTTTGCGCAAATAAAGTACGAAAAGTTATTAAAACTATTAAAGTAAGCCCTAAATTCTACTTTTCTCTTTATGGAAACACGTGTTGCTTTTAAGAGCTATTCGTAAAAATTTTAAACCTATTACTCTTCACTCAGTCACTCTGGCTGTTCTACGTTATCCTGCTTCAACTCAGCATCATCCAGAGACTTGTCCCAACCCGATTACATCTCAGCGACGCTGTTGTTGTGGAGAGGTGCTAACTTTTAATTTTCGCTTCACTCCTTTTCTGCTTAAATCGCTTATTGCGCTGTTTGTTTGTTATTTCCGTAACTTCGGCGCCGGCGCTTACGGCGGGCGAATAAAATTGTCCTGCGCTAATAAAATTACTTCGTCATAAATCACATTACCCACATAATTTGTACGAAATTCACGCACAACTTTTGGTCAGAGCCTTCGCTTTAGCTTTCCTCTCGCATTGTGGCACAATGTAGCCGCCATCTTCGTGAGGCCATGTTTGTTTGTTGTCGTCCCAAAGTGCTGAGCCATTATCCAAATAACTTTTACGCAAACGCTTCTTGAAAAGTTTCCCTCTAAAGTACAAATGTAGCACCTGCCCATGGGGGCGACGGAAAATGGCAGGGAGCGCGGCCCGAGCCGCTCTACTAATCGCCAGCTCAATGTTAACCGTCTTGAGATGCTGTTTCGTACTCCGGATGTAGCCAAGTTCCGTTTGTTTTTGCTCTTCAATTTGGTGTTGCGAGCAGCGAAGAGCGAAGGATGGTGCGGCAACATTATAAACAGTTGTAAAAAGGGTTGCCGCCATCTGGTGCGTTTTGAAAGGCTCTCGTCTGACATTCACAGTTACTTTTACTGGTCGCTGATTGTTGTTACTGCCACTGTTATTGTTGTTGTCACTGTTTTATGTGTCATGAAAATGCGGTTGATGTGCGCACGACCACAACGATGGCATAAACACCGTAATTAGTTGAAATGAGGCGCCAGCAGGTGGCCCGTCGTCCGAGTTCCGTGCCACCGAGGTGTAGAGGAGCGCAAGCGAAATAGGTCGTGTATGTGCTTTTTCATTCGAACGCCACACACATTCTTATTCCAAATATAAATACTGAAGCTGAAGGGCTGCGAATGTAAAAATAAGACTTTCTTCTGAACTGGGAGCAAAGGCGATTTTACAGCTACTAACGGTAAATAATTCGCAATACCTACTAGAGAATTTGTATTATTTGAAGAGGAATGCGCCGAGGCTGAGGCGTGCCAAGTGGGAGGTAAACACATGTGCGCCGGCGAAAATGCTTCCGAAGCCAAAAAGTTTTTGACTCAATATTGATATATGTATGTGTGTATGAAGGGATGCGGTGTCGCCTATTCGTCCAGTGGCACAGTTATGCTTCCGTTCTGTTTTGTTGCTTTGCTTGTTCGTTTCTTGCTTGTATTTGTTGTGGCGTTTGAAAATATTGAAGTCAGCAAGTTTTAAAGAAAACTCCCCGAAGACATTGTGATACACCCCACCCGCTTCTAAGTTCACGCTGTACCCTTACACCTTTTAGGCTGGGGGTTTCTCACCCCCTCTTCTCCATTTATCGAAATAAAGATAAATTGCGAAATTTTATAGTCAAAGTTTTGAATTCAACTGCCACCGTTTGCTGCTGTCTATTTCCTTGCATTTGTTGCTGTATTTATTGTGCTAATAAAAATTATGTACAAGCTCATATATGCATCTCTCATTTGCATAACGGCTGGCAATACCAAAACCTCCGCCTTTGCTTCGTCCATCAGCGACCCGAGCAAACAGTTCAGAGTGTACTGATTTTGTTTTTGTTGTCGGTGCTAAAATTATGCCACACAGAGCCAGTGGCTACTTAGTTTTCGTACCCAGTTGTAAATTTATTACCAGGGTGACAGTTACGTTGACATTTAGTGCCCGTTTCCCCACCACAGTGGCGAGGAGTCGGTGCGGGGCATTCGCTTATTTTCGGCACGCTTTGTCGACCGAAGCCGTTTGCTAATTTATGTGTCGACTGTGAGTAATAAGAGCTTAGCACCTTGCTCGCCTTCGCCTTCTCTGTTTACTTGCTTAACGGAATTATTTTCATTACTTCGATTGCTTAACAAATATGTGTAATGGCATTCAATGCACTTTGTAATCTCTGAAATTTCAAGTCTGGCATCTTTTTATATGGCTCAAATTAAACCAGGAAAATATGCTTATGATTATGAGCTCTCCATACACTGAAAATGAATGTTAATAGATACAATTTTTTAGCTTACAGAAATCCTTGTTGCATGCAACGTAAAGTACTTACCATACATATGATAGATATGTACAAATTGCAATTAATATATTGCAGAATCGTCCTCTCATACCTAATTATATTTTCCAAGGTCATTGCATGTAAATATGAACACAAATAGCCCAATATACGAGTATAGTTTTAATCGAAAAATATGTAACATTTCCGACGGCAAATCAATTCCTTTTCTACTCCTTAATGATGCCATATATATATATAATACATACATACATAAATACACACACACACACAAATTATTTAAATAAATGTTTCAAAATATTTTTTAACTTATAAGTCAGTATAAATTAATTTAAAATAAAAAATTCACATAAGTAGCATGTTATTCATTCTCTGGTTCCCTCACCAAAATCCCCTTTTACCGATTCTTTTCTGCTAAAATTGAAATAAAGTGAATATTTCATGAGGCAAATTTCCTCGTCGTGAGGTAGTTCCCCCGTTGAAATTATTCAAATGTGTGCTGTCGAACCTGCACCTTTTCAATGCTTTACTTTCTCTGCACTCACGCTGTGCGATTTTTCCATACTAGTTTTAGTGTCGTCCCTGTTAATATCCTTTAATTAATTGGTTGGAATGGAAATTTTACTCAGTTGCAAAAGTCCCATGTGAAAGCGGGCTTTTGTATTTCTCCAGATATTTCATACTTTTCTGTACTTCACACTAATGCTGAAGTCAAGTTGATGGTGTTCTAAAAGACTTCTCCAGAAAGATTCTTTAAGTCCAAAACCAGAAGCCTTAGCAAATTCGGGTTTACTTATTGCATCACGAACAAGTGCACTAGACGAAGTTGCATTAGTAGAGCTTTCGTTAGAAAGGAACTTAATTCCCATATGAGTGAAGGTTATGCAAAAATCCTCCAGTCACAGTTTAGAAGATGGCGTAAGGATATTTTGCAAGGAGATAAAGAGGATGATATTTAAATTCTACTATAAATTCGAATATGTGTTCTGATATAAGCTAATTAAGCGAATTTAGCTTCGACACATAATTAACCACAAATCCGTCAGCCTTGTAACCGCACTCCACTTGTTACATTATGGTATCCTTACCACGTTTTTACTAATTCGCCTAATTATGCAGATTCGCTTGTTCGCCATACTGGCACCGCAAAATCAATACATTTGACGTAAGCGAATTGCATATTCGAAGTAACCATTTCATCTCACACCCCTCTTATCTGTTTGCCTGGTGTCGACCATCAATTCCTGTAATTGACTGCGAATTCGGGTCACTTTCAGCCGCATTGCATCCAATAGCTTATTGGACGCCGTCCGCCGCCATATTGCCAATCATCCGACCCACACACCGATCTGCACCAGCTGGATGAGTACGTCGCGCGTTCGGAGTTATGAAACCGAGCGTGAAGTGTTGCCGGCCAAGCAGCACGGAATGCTGGTGTCCTTTGCAATTTCCCATTGCTTTAAAGAGCTGCAGTCGAAACAGCAAGCTTAACTAGAAAGCAGCGCTATAATAACATATCGGGCCGTTACACGATGTGGCAGCAACAAATAGTCAGCGGCTTTAAGTGTTGTTGGAAAAGTCCGCATGCAAATGTGCTGTACTGACAGCAACAACGACAGCAGCTATGATGTCGGCAGCTGTAAGCGACGCGACGGAGGGTGCTCTTTATAGACAAAGAGCAGTTGGGCCGCACATAATCAGCCATTTGCATCCGCATTCGGGAAGCATGTCAATAAAGTCCTGAACAACTTCCCCCACCTCGCACATTCGCACTTCGGTAGAAACTTTGCAAACAGATTTTGCTATTGTTTCCGCTGCTGTTGCTGTTGCTGCAGTTGCCTGTCATTGGTTGGAAGGATGCGCGCCGCATTGCAGTGGCTATCGGAAATGGGTTAATCGATTTTTAAGAGGATCGCTACTTGCAATCTCATTCGACACGCTGCGCTTCGCCTCGTATTTTATTCGGTTTTATTTCTGGCTCATAGATATTGACGTTGTTGCTTTTTGTGTTGTTCTTCTTTCCTGTTTCATCATACTGTTTGAGTGTTATATGGCATTTCGTGCTTAAAGACTTCGCAATTACAAGTCTTGCTTGTTGGTTGGTGCGGGTGAGATGTGTTATAAAAAAACTACAGATGTTCCAATGTCCTTGTAGATGGACTGCGGTGGAAAGTGCAGCGAAGAGTGGCCTGAAATATAGGTTAACTACTGCAAATCGTTATAGCAAATATATTTTTTTTCAAATCACATCTCTACTGGCAAAATGATTGAGTTGTTGGCTGAAGGGTAATGAGTCTTTTCTACTTTGTTTTGGGTTTATTATAGAGACTCTAGGAAAGTTATGATGACCAGAATGGTTCCCCATTAAAACAAAATGGAATAAGCAAATGAAAAATTCGTCATGTGGCTCAGTTTTCAAAGTCGTCTGAGAAATAGAACCGCGGGCAAACAAAGTCGTGAATTTAAAGTAAAATATGGAAAGATTTATCACAGGGAAAAGGTGCGGACTTAGACTTCACATCGATGTAAAGATGCCTGTATGGATCACTTTGGGAAATAAGCCAAATTTCCTTAGGCTTTCACACCTGACTTCTACACACGGGGCAGACGGTTAGCTTTTGTAATTGCTTTGCTGTGTATGAAATTAGGCGGAGAAGCATTTAAATATTTGCAACAGATTTGGTGTGTCAGCACTCTCTTTAACTATCTATATGCACGTATGTTGGTTCACATCCTTTCGGCATCTATCCCGCTTTTGATTTTTTCTTGTCAACGACAATTCACTAGCCGAGTGCCTTGAGGTCCGGAGTAGGGCGAGGGGTATGCAAATTAAATTGTTCGCAGTCAGCTCGTTGCGAATCTCCAGCCAGTGTCACCAAAGCAAGATCCCACACCACTCCACGGGGCATTGTTATTACAGCCGCAGAGTGGGGTGGCGACACGATGCGGTAACAGAGTGCAACGAAGCATGAACCGCGTTAATTCGTCTTTTGTTGCAAGTACCACACATTTCGCTTAATGCCCCCGCTCACACAAGCTCGCTTTCTTTCAAATGGTAGACGTGTGACGCCGGCGGGGATAGCGATAACAACAGTGGCGGCGACAACAACAACAGCAACAATGGCAAAGCAAAGCAAAATGGCAACAGTGTCAAAGCGCAAAGCATGAGTGAAGCGTAGGACGGTCGTCGGGGTGGACTATAAGGAACCACCGAGATAGAAGAGTGCATTTGAAATGTAAGCGGGTAGAGACAGAAATTGAAGCTACAATTTAAATCATCGAGCGGAAGCGGAGATGCGCGGGCAAAAGAACGTAGGGCAGGAGTTGCGGACACTGAGGCAGCACTGACATTTATATAATAAAAGGATAAGCAGAAAAGTGTATGTGCCTTCTGGCGATGGGCGGTGGGTCAGGAGCGAGCCGCCGGATGCTCGGGGTATAATAACTGAAGGTTACTTCTGAATTCATTTGCATGAGATTGTTAGCTCGTTGCGCTATTGTTGTTATATTTTGTAGCTGGTGCAAACGTTTCGCACTCTATGCATATTCTTTGAAGTTTGCGGTTGCTATTTTTCCAGTATTTTTGCAGCCATTCCTCTTTTGATGCGCTTCGCTCTTGGCCAAAAGCCACATGGCATTTGTCTGCAACAGCAGTGGCAACTTAGCAACAAACAAACCAGCATTGAGTGTGCGCACGTGTGTATTCTAGATCTACATAGATAATAGAAAAATGGGAAAATTTGAATGAGAAACATAGGAATGTTTTTGGCATTCCAACACAATGAAAGCGACGTTGCGAGCCTGCGCCCCATCAGAGTGCTTTGGTTGCAAATGAAGTGACAGTAGGCAGTAGGCAGGCATGACAGATGCACCTCCACAAAAAGCAAAAGAAAAAAACTAAAGTACAGCCGCTTATAATCATTTTGGGAGTGAGCTAGCGCCCGAAAGTAGGCAAAGCTTTAGGAAGAACTCGTTTCATTTCATTTCATCTCGTTTCGTTTCAGTAGCTGCTTTCTAACGCCTGCTTTTGCGGAGTCATACATGTTTCCATGTGGCGTATTCTGCATGAAATAAGTGTTAAAATTGCATTGGGAATTAGAGTGGAAACGACATTACACAGTTGTCATGTTTGCCTACAGTGTGCAGTACATTTAGGCTGACGGAATAATTTGGAAATTTCCATTTATTTGGAAGCTCACAATGGCACCAAAGCACTACCAACCATGTGTGTGTGTGTACATGCACACATATCCATATACATATACATACATACATACAATATAAAAAAGGCCATCAGCTGGCACTGGTCTGGTTGCTCAACACTGCTTGGGCAGCATATATGTAGGGGCTCCCATACGCCCGCTCGATGCATCACATACACCCACAAATGGAATTTCACACACACTGACACACACATAGAGCAGAAAGTGGTCGAACTGAATGTTCGCCACAAGCAAAATTGTTAAAGAGTTCATTGAAAAGAAAGGAAATCCAATTTCAACTGCATTTCCATGATAGTTTTCTCCGTCCCAGTGGAGGTTGTTGTTTCATTGCTATTTGTCTCCGCTGTCTAATGGGTTGGATGTGCATGGGTTGTATGCAATGCAGCAATGCATTTGGTTTCGTTCGGGAGCGAGCTCATGTTGATTATTTCCTTGCGGTCCTTGGGAACTTCCCAAAGAAAAACCGCAAAAGAATGCAATTTTAGCAACTTCCAATGCCAAACGGCTGAAGCTGTTGAATTCCTTGTCGGCACTTCGGCGCACTGCCCCGCTCCGAAGCCGTCTTTTATTAAGAGTCCCGTTCCGCAATCGCTTGTGGACGGCAGGTAGTAAACAATGGCACTGCAATTGTGTGTGGCATGCCGCACAAAAGTCCGCACGGCCTGAAAGAATTCATCTACATGTGTGTAGGCGTTTGAATATGGCTTGGTGTGAGTGATTACGTGTGTGCGTGAGTGAGTCAGTGCAATATCCGATGCTTTATTCGATTTTGTGCCGCAAAATCTCTTTTGTGGCAAGATAAACTTAAAGGGACTCATATTCTTTAATCAATAAGTCATTGTCAAGCCGGAGTTGCCACCTTCGCAAAATAGTTGCTTACTTACGCATACATTAAGTGGGCAAATGGCCAACACTTCAGCTGCACCATTACAACGGGTTCTCAGTTTGTGCTGAAGTGTTTGCAACAAATAGTCGCAGGCGTTTGCCACTCTTTCTGCGTTGCAATTTATATTCAATTAAAACTTTACCGTTTGTCGCAAACAACAACTCGCGCCTTCGCAACGAAGACGGGCGACGCTCGCGACGACCGGCTTATCGCGCTGTGACGTGACTGTTGCGCAACGTCTATCCGCACCCTCAGGGAGAACAACGACAAAATTACAGTTGCTTAATTAGAAGTGAAGCGAAAGCAACTCGAGCGGCTGTCGTGAAGGTTGCAGCACGAAAACTCAGACAACTGCAAACCGCATGAGGCGTTTCGTGGCAAGGGGGATTACAGCTTTCGTCGCGCTTATTCCGCTAGTCCACCGCGTCATGCAGGTGCTTGCGGGATCTCTCGATTGGAATCTGTATTGTGTGGTAGTTGCTGACATCTGTCGTTCGACAAATGAATGCTAAGTGAAAATGTAATTGGAATTAGATTCTGAAATAAAAATAACTGAAATTAACATAACTGTTGAATGCAACAACCAGTAGATATTAGTGGTTGTCCCTGGTGGTTTCATTCGAGAATTCCTTTTTAAACGCGAATTCTACACATTCTCAGCCATTGTTTTGAAGCACATTCCATTAAAGAGCCCCTAGTGCAAATCAGCTGCTCAAGTGGCATCCTACTCTTTTCTAAATATTTTACTTAAGCTCCAGCTCACAATAACGCGTTGGTGGACCGGCATATATATAAATGAGGAATTTAATTTAGCGCGATTTCTCTAGTGTGCGTTGCGAAATGATGCGAATGAAACTAATTTCGGCTGCCCTTTGAGCGGAGTGAAGCATGTTGGATGTGCAGAGTAGTGCAGTTGTGGCGGATGGTCCGCACTTTCTATTTGCCTTGCAAATACTTCATCGGAGAAAGTTGTTTCCCTATTAAATTCCGAGCGGGAAGATGAATATTTTTATAGCTGATGCAGCGCCTTGAATTATGCTATAGATTTTCGTTCATCGCATTTGCATATGTTTGCCGGAACGGACGGAAGGATGTCCACGCCCGGCATGGCAAAGATAAGTACCAAATTCAGCTAAGATTCTGTTTCTCAAGGCAGCTTGCCGGTTGCTAGTGTGTACCAACCTCCTGCGCGTTTCCAAGCGCTTGTCAGAGATTTATGAGGCATCAACGGCTACATTAGTGCTGCATAAATGTTTTTCCGGATTATTGCATTGAAAGTTTGTTGCCGCGAGACGATCGAAGTGCGGCTAATTGAATGCTCAAGTTCGGCGGGTAGAAGCCGTTCCAGCAACTACTTGGTGAGTCGAAGCGGAGCCCACTACTGCCATAGCTATGCGGCCGGTTTACTTCAGGGCAAGGGATGAGTGCAACTAAAATACTTTCCGGACTACGCGCCTCGAATTCCTTCCTGCTAAGCATTTGTCTTTCATTGTTTCGCTTCTTTTCATATAAATTGTCTTCGTGTAGCCGGGTTATTTAATGTGAGCTCGCACATATCCCGGAAGTATGGCCCCTGTCCGTGATGCTTATTTCGCAACGATATATAAATGCTTGTATGTGTGCCTCAATATATCGATTGCCATGATGCTACATCTAATAATACCAACAGCGAGTGCCATTTCTTGTGGGCTCACCGAATGCAATTAATTTCGAAGCAGACGACATACCAAGCAACACCAGCAAAAATGAGAGTCAGCAGTTGGCCCCCAGTCGGGCGATCGAGGTGCGGTATGGGCGCAACAATTATTTAAAGTTTGCGTGAGCCAGAGCAAACCGCAATTACAACATTGCCACATGCGCATTCACGTCGACACTTCCACACCCACATACACGTAAGCAACATTGCCGCAAATGCAGACGAGCGTGTGTGCAGGTGGCTGGCACGCGGACAAACTTTTGCAATTGCGAATTTCGCAAGACATTTTCCATTTTCCAATCATTTAAATTATGGCAAACATTAGTCGCCTGTGGATATGTGTGTGTGTGTTCGAGCAAATGACTTCTGCCGAAGGCAGCAAACAGGCAACTCAGTTTTGTTGGATGGTAGCATGGACCCAGCACGACACTGTGAAAAATACCTCGGCTAATTGGGTGGAGTTGTTGTAACTGCAAATTACCGAAGCATGTTCTTTCATTTCACATGAAACCAGTTGTAATATTACATTATCCTAAAATTCTTATATTGTGGACGCTCTGCTCTGTTTTCCCGTGTATCTGTCGAATCACACACTGCAGTGCCATCGGTAAGCGTCGCCTACTTGCAGGCACCATAACCAGGTTTTCACTCGGTGTGCAAGCCATACGGGAAGTCTTGCGTTCAAACGTCGAGTCAACCACGGCCGATGAAGCGAGTGTATGTGTGTCCCCTTGTGTGTGTTTATGGGTACTTGCATTCTTACCGTGTTGGCTTCGTGGCAAGAAATTCATGTCTCTTCGATAAATTATTCTCTCGGCTCTTAATTTAACTGGTGCTTTGCCGAAGAGGGCGACCTGCTTCGCCCTAGCACAGCCTTTTGGGGCACTTATTTTGCGAAGAGCAATTAAGAAAATGATTCATAAATTTATTTAAACTTCGTCCTTGTGTAGCGAGACTTCACTTCTTTCGAAAGTGCTTGCGTGAGGTAAACATATATGTATTTATATCATTACCTTTATATGTATGGTAAATAGAAGAGCTATGCTGGGCGTGTGTGGTCTTTCAAAGCGTAGACGAGGCTATGAAGAAGCTTGCTTTCCGAGTATTGCCGGAAGAAAATAGTTTCGGTTCACATATATTGGAATATTAGGCAATATGGTGTTGTAATGGTGTCTCCTTAGAAGAAATCTATGCACTTATACTTGTATTTAAACAACAAGAAAGCATGCTAAAATTCGATTAACATCTTTTCATCGGAGATAAAGCAAAGCTCAAAACATATATTTTTTATAAGTGTGTTAGTCCCACCTTTGCATTGTAGTAAATTCATATTCTGCAAGTCAATTCCATTTTAATCTTTGTATGTTACTCATTTGTTTATTTGAGCTCGATTTGAGCGCGTGCCGTTAAATACGTGCCTCACAGTGTTCACGCTTTTGGACTTTAACGCCGCCAAAAGGTTCGATCTTTGCGGAGCGATCACATTTCCATTCCCCTCTCTCCATAAATAACCGGAATGACTGTCACCTCTAGCAACGGAACTTAGCTCAATGAAGAGCGATTGAATTGCCAAGAATAAAAAAGCCGACAATGTTAAATGCTAGCCCCACAACGATATAGCCCAATCCTGCCTTTCTCTGGGCTTTGGGGGTGTTTGTCCTTGTAACGCGCATATTCTCTATTATCTGAAACCTAAACAAAGTTTACGACGTTGTTTAGTAGTTTTGAAGTAGTTTTCAATAAAAATGTCAGAGGAAACTGTGAAATATCCGCTTTGGGTTCGACCGTGTACTTGGTGTGGGTGTTGTTGTGTGCTCATTTTTCATATCCTGGTGAGGCAACGGGTCGTACGCGCAATTTATGAGCAAAATACGCGAAAGTTTGAACGAAAAGCGATAAAATACTTAAATAACAAAACATTTTAAGGATACGAAAACAAAAAGCGCGAATGCAGCAGCGGCAAACTCCAAAGTATTCGAAGCTGCAGTTGGCCGGATTAAAGTTTAAGTATTCGCAATCTAAAGTTGCATATCGTTGTCGAGTTTGCCGGCGAATCCGGCAGCAGCCGGAAGCGATAAAACGCCCAGTAACTCAGCCAACTCCTTTCCACTGCTGCGTTGAGGTTCAACTCCATTTCCACTTCACCGCTGTGTGCGTGAGGTGTGAGCGTGCGGCAGGATTATTTGCCTTTGGAGGATTTGAATGCAAGCTGTCTATTGCCACTTTCCATTTTCAGCGGGCCATACGCCGGCGGCAACAAACAAATTATGCCTTTTTAAACTTTCTGACACCTAACTCCGACAGCGACCGCTCAAATGTACCGAGCTTACTTCCCTCTCGCGCATTTGCACATTTTGGTTTCGTTTCTTTCCTTTTTCACGCAAAATCAACAAACTTTAGTTGCGGCAGTTAAATGCGGCGCCAAAGACCGACAGAGCTAATAAGTAGGATCATTTATTGTAATTATATTTCCACTTTGGTTGTAACTTCCACCACGTGCCGCTGTCTACACACATACAAGGTGACTTCGGTTTCCGCGATCACTGCGAAGCGCGTCACACAAGTTTCACGCCAGCATGTCTTTCTTCGCCACACTCACGGTACTTGCAAATAGTAGCTTTGCTGTTCAGCCACTGTTTAAATGGCATAATTTCTTTCTCTGGTATGGTCCAAAAGTGCATTAGACATTGCACTCCCCAAGAAGCCGGCCAACGAGCTGCGTCTTCTGTGGAGACTCATTACTTTTGGATTTTCTGTGGAGAACGTTGATAGCACTTACGAAATGTAATATCGTAAAGCCTTTGTATTTCTCGGCTGCTACACTTAAGGCTCCACAGGGAGAAATATATTTCTCACGGTTAATTGAAAACTTTGTGGAAGTTGCATGAAATATATATGCCACATTTTTCTCTGAAATCACGTTTAAAAAATAATCAGTTACAAAATATTTAATTCCACGTATCTAATTCTGTCCGTAAGGACTACTTGAGTGACTCATACCTTTGGTTTAATACCCACTTCTGCCGTTCACATCATTCAGAGGTCCTTTGCCGTCGCAACTACTCACCGGCAAAATAAATTTAATAAAAAATTTCAAATAAATCTAACAATAAATAAATATTTGTTTAAGCCTCTTCAAGCAGGACTAGACTGCTCGTCAATGCCTTGCCTTCAGCCTTCCCTATTGTCACTCCTTGTACCTTTAAGGGGAGCAGTAAGAGTAGAGGAAAAGTGTTAGACAGAGGTAAGCACAGCAGAGTTGGGAGGGTAGGGGAACGAAGCAGAGGAAATCATGAAGTGTGTGCTTGTTTACACACACACACACCTATATAGTTCCCACACTTCAATGGAAGACTTGGCATTTTTTGTGGTTGCTTTGTAGCCGTCGTTGTTGTATTTGTTTTCGCACAATATTTGTTTTGTGTTACCTGCCTGTGTCCGCCTGCAGTTTACCTTCGCACAGACAAGCAAATAAGGATACGAAAACATGCAACTGGAAGTTCTTTTATTAGTTGTTGTGGCAGTGAGCTTTTCCATTGCCCCACTCCAGCCATCGCCTCACTGTTTGTATTTGTGCGCGTTCGAGCGTTTTAGTTTATTTACCGCCTTTGAGCAACTTTTTCTGCTGTCGCTTCTAGATGCGGGCAGCTAGAGAGCAGTGGAGTTTTTTAGTTTCGAGGTGTTACAATAACACAAAAACTGAAGAAAATAATTATATATATGTATGTGTGCACTTACCTACCACGTCGACCCGCATTCCGTTCATGTGCACTCAAGCTGCCACGCACCGTTGTTTACTTGTTTTTACTTTCGGCTGGCTTCTTAGTTTCCGACTGGAGCGGTGACAGGACGAAAAAAGTAACCCTACCAGGTAAGAGGCTACAAAAGTGCTGCGCATTAAACAATGTCTCAACCGAGTGTGAATCTATCTTATAAAAATAATCATAAAAATGACAAGCAAAACATAAAATTTCATTTGGCTCCATTTCCGAACGCATTAATGTGTAGGTTAGGTGGGCGAAGCGGGCATCCACATTAGCATGGAGTGTTTGAGGAGGGTATTTCGCAGAAAGAGCCGCTGTTATCGCTGTTGGAATCGCCTAAATTGATTTTCGAAATGCAAAGCAGCATTAGAGGGAACACGAGCGCCGAAGAAGTTGAACAGCCAGAAGGTTATAAAAACAAATGTTTTGAAATTGCTTGCACTCAGCAGAAACACACAAGCGTGTCCATAAAAGGTTATGCCAAGGTAGAGCGATACTGGAACATTAGCTTCTCGATAAAAAGTAAAATCTCCCATAAATGCAGTGACAATGTTGCAATGACATAGTGAATGTAATAATACAAGTAGTGGAAGGAAGAGAGCAGATCCATTTAGCGAAGGTAAATCGCAGTTCTGCAGAAAATGTAGAAGTTGGAAACTTTTAAGCTGTTTTGGTGAAAATCCGATAATTTAAAAACCGCCAATTAGAAGCTTTCAAGAGAGCAGTGCACTATTCTCTACAACTTGGATTGTTTGACACTTTTATTAATTTCAAGTATATTTGAGTAAAAATAACGCAGATTGTTCATAGAACTATGACTATGGTCTGCATGTGCTTTTGGCACTATAGCTTCTTCACGAGACTACGTGCAGCGATATTTCTGAAATATTCTGACATTATAGATTGATAGATTGAACAAAAAACCTACAAATATTGTAGACATGTCAAAGAACATATATACTAAGTTAATTATATATTCTTGTATTTGTATGCGAGTGTTTATGCGTTGGTGTTTGTTTGATAAAGTGTAATGGATAATAACAGATTATGAGGTCATCCATCATTCACTTAAAATTTCAATTAATCACACGCCTACCTGCATATATACATACACACATGCGATGTGTTGGCAAAAAAGCCATTAAGCTTCGCATCGTGTTAAGCGCCAAAGCACGAGATATGAATGTCGGTAAATACCGCTATTGTTGATAAACTAATAAAAAGCTTCCTCGCCGCATTTGCAATATAATTAGCATAATTATTAAATTATTTGTTGTTAGTGATTGCATGCAAGCGTATGCGGCATCATATGCAACACCCAACTGGAAATTGCCTCCTTTGCCATTGAACCTCATAGGCCGCCGATCAACACAGACTACCTGTATGTGTCTGCCACTCGCGTTACCAAGCGTCAAAGGTGAAAGTGTCAAATTCTCATTACTCTCATTTATTTATTACTAATGACCGATTCCCCTTCATCTCCGCCCCTCGTTCAAATTCGATTTTCTATGCAGTGCTGTGTTGTTTGGTCTATGTTTGTGTCTGTGAATGTGCATATGTGGTGGTGAGAGTATGTTAATAATCTGATTCTGTGCCGTTATGTTGCGAAACGTTTAAATTACGCTGCGAAATCGCTTTTGATGAATTTTAAATGCATTTAGCTGGGCGTCGGTATCCCATGGGTCAAAATGCATGCAGTCGTTCTAAAAGCGCTGACATCAACAAACACTTGACATTTCGGCTGAAGTGTCATTTCACTTGTGAGCACATAATTTCATAATTTGCGCGTGTTTGTGTTAAAGCCGCGATAAATATTGGATTTTGACATCACTAAATTAATGAGTGGCTGTCATTAAATTTCGCTTCTAATGAGTTTGGCCAAACAGTGTGTGCCGAAAGCGCTGTAATGGCACACTCTGCGGCGGCGGAAGGGAAAGGACTCTGCAATGAGTTCCATATTTAACCACAAATTCTTTTGACGTGCTCAAGAAAGTTTATCCTTTCACTTCAGTGAGCGCTTTTTCTCAACGCTCGTGCCAGCCGCACTCAGAAAGAGGCAATAGCAGATATTTTCGGTCAATGACGATAATTCATCAACTACCGCTGCCTTTACGGTGGGGAATAAGAATGAGTTAAGCCATATGTATAAAAATAGGTCAATAGACCAGCCCAAACTGCGCGCCTTGTAATTGAACACCCATCGTTAAGAAATTAAAAGCACTGAACCATTAAGCTAACAAGTTTCCAAGTAAAGTGAGGACTGTTTAACCCGAAACGACACAACAGTGGCGTGCGGAAATACCTCTGACAAGGGATTCGACGACCCCTCGTGTCCTGGAATGTTTGTAGTTCAGTTCGATTCTGCAATACCGTTAACCCCATGAGATGTAACCACCATGATTTCATTTCTGCGCCTAAAGGTATACTACTTAATAAAATGCCATCAAAGCCTAGCTGGCATGTAGCATAAAGGCTGCATGAGCTTGTACTGCGTTGTAGACAATTGTGTTTGGTATAGCTTTTTCTGTCATGTGGGCAGACGCACATACATGTGTGGTTTTGCCGATATTGCTGTCATTGTTTCTGTGTGCCATTGTAATGGTTATATTGGTATTGCTATTGGGCTGTCAATTAAAATTGATTATATTTAGTGGTTTGCATTGGGTTTTGTTTACAGGCGTTGCTTATTTAATTTACCACACAATCAACAAAGACTACCCCATTGCGGTGCGGGAGGGCGATGCGCGGCAAACAAGGCGAAGGAGGAAGGGTGCAAACGGCTGCTTATGTGCGTAATGACACTCCTTTTTGTTGGTGTCATTACTTATTTATTTACTTTGTTCTCCCTACTTTTTCTTGCCTAAGGAGAGTATTGTGCGGTCGTCTGATGAGCCAGAATAAATTGACTTTGCCATTAGAATGGCGTCGCGGTGCTCGCGACATATTGGACGGATGGTTCGGTGTCTTCTAACTTCATTGCGGCCGAACGAAACTTAGTTCCTCGCAATCGTAGAAGTAAATGCAATCCCTGGAGGATTCACTAATAGGTCTTATCGATAGCTGAGCCCATTAGTTCTGTATGTAAACATGCATATAGGCGTTGTGTGAGCGCTATTCGAGTTGCCTACAAAAGCATTACTGTTGGGCCGAAATAACCTGCAGGCCTTGGGGTGGGAAGACTTGATGAGACGAATCACACTTAGCTAATGCACATCATAGTCACTGTTGACTTGCCCCACATAAGCGAACTACTCTGTCACAACTGGCTTTGGTTAGTGAAAGTTAGGCTCACAATCATCGTCGATGGATTTCCCAAAAGCTGATGCCGAGTATCAGATAAATAATGTCAGACCAATAGAAGTGGGAGACTTCAAGTAGTAATTGAGGCCGTTATTCTGACTGTGGCCATATGCCCACGCATGTGAATTAGTGTGGGTAGGTGTCTGTTGTGGCAATTCGCAAGGATTTCGTTGATCGCTCTTTGAAAGTGAAAACTGTGCTCCGATTTTCAGCAGCTGAGTCGCCGGAATGTCATTAAATAGCCGTTTTTCAATCAACGAGTCTTAGTGGCCGTCGAACAGCCTGCTCAGCTCGTCTGATAAGCCAAAATGCAAGCCAATATGCCAGGGGAAAGGCGAGATGCTGAAATATAAGCCTAAAACAATGCTAAGGTATCTCAGGAATAATATTTGTGTTCACTTTTGTTCGCAAATAAACAGATAAACACACTTGTATGTTGTCGCTGTTGTGGCGCAATGTCTTCCCAAGCTCTCGAGCTGTCGAAATGAAATATTTATTCTTGCTAAACTAAAATAAGCAGAGAAACTGTGGCAGTGGCACACACACGCACACATCCGCGCACAGTTGATATCTTATTTAAATTTGTGTAACAGCCGAACACAAATCGGAGAAATAAAAACCAAATGGGGCACTCACAGTTTTGGCAACGCCAATAGGGGAAGATGGCGCAGAATGTGCGATTAGTTCCCGCCGCTTAAAATTTAAAGCCTTCATAGGAATCTTTTTAGTACATAAATTACGAAATCACTTTCCATAAATCGTTTAATCGGAAAGTGAGCAGCTAGCGTTAAGGCTTGGTAAAAGAAAAAAGAAGCCGGCGCTTTCCAAGGTATGCAAAGCGAATTCGCATGAAGTAACAAACGTTCGAGGGAAGAAAAGGATATAATGGGAAACCGAAGTCCCAAGATATTTGTTCCGTGAATTTTTTGAGTGGGTCGGAGAGAACAAATAAAAGAGCGGCTGCAAAACAGCAGAAGCTGCCTCAGCACGAAATTTGTGATTTACGAGTGCTGTCCGCCAGCACGTGGTGGTAATAAGATGCAAGTGTCCATATGCGCCTGCACAAAAGTCGCCAATGGTGAGCATGTCCATTTCATAATAAATTTTACACACAAATTTGTAGGCTCCTCTCATATTCTGCATGGGTGAAGTGGAAGACTGCAACTTTAGATCGGCCAAGCAATAATTTATGCTTAAGTAATCGATTTCCTTCAAAAGTCCGCGTAGCTTCGCTCCTCGCCGTCCTGTCTCCAACAATGCTGTTGGAATTTCGGCTTTTTCTATGTTCGGTCGAGCATTCTCATAAATTCGTTTGGAGCCAAAAACACTTCAGCACTTTGTGGCCATCTAACATGAATTGTGGCATGAAAAGCTTGCTCTACAGCGATGCCGTTATTCGTTTCTATTTTATTAGCAGAATTTCACTGTGTCCTTATGGCTGAAGGAAAGGCCCAAGCTCTGGCTATTTTGTGAATTACTTCATGCTCTAGCTAGAGACACCTTAAGTAATGTCTGTATGCATGGGTATTCGCGTTCATGTGAGGCAGCACTTTTGGCATTTATGAGGTTGTTAGGAGGCATATCAGATATTTGTGCTGCTGTGGCAAATTGTTCATAAAACTATGGCCCTAGAATTTCCAACTGCCGTCGTTTGCGAATCGGCAGAAAAATAAAAATTCCACAAAAGAGTTTAGAATACACTGATTTCCTGGCAATATTAAATTTTCTTTCTGGCTTGCCATCCCCTCTTGATAGAAACAACTAAAATTTAAAAAAAATAATTAATTTACATATTTTTGAACATTTTCATTGCAG